ATATATATATATTTTCGTGTGATATTAACATGCTTCTGGCTTACTTGTGGGATGGGACTGGGTTCAAACCAGCTAGACACACAAATATTATGTTATTGGTATATGCATGAGATTATATATATTAATAAATTTAAAGAACAACATTCAACCACTGAAATCCATGACAAAAAGGGTAATACTAATGCAGAAATATTACAAACTCCTCCGCAGTTCCATGAGGAGGAACCAGTGAAAGCAAATAAAAATCCCACGCAGAACTCTTAGAAATTACCTTGTAAAACAAATCTTCCACTTCTCTCTCGCGTATGTCGCCGGGGAGGTTACCAACGTAGAGGGTTCTGCTTGAACGACTCATTTTCCTGATGCATATCAAGCCAGAATTACTTAAAAAATAAAATATCCAAAAGGCGCAGAAATTCAACAGCATCAGCAAAATTTTACAAGTTCAATTTCGTTAGAAAGACAATTTTACAAAATCACAAAAAAAGGGACGGCAGCATGAAATATAGCAATGAATATTTGAAAAATTAACAAAATAACATCTTCTGCCGCCGAAAGTAGAAAATTGAAGTGTGGAACAATTCTTAATGATCCATTAACCAAATCTTGGTGAAAAAAAATACAATCTAAGATCTCACAACTAGTTTCGAAAGCAAAGAAACCGTGACTTCAGTTGAGAAAACTCTTGTATATGTTTACATGTACAGTAATTGTGTATCAATACGACCATAAAATATAGTCATGCAGATACAAGTTTGCGGGAATCGAATTGGGAATTTACCGTAGCGGAATTGACTGAAACTAGAAATTCAAAGATTAGGGTTTTGAGGTCTCTGAGGGACAAAAATGGGAAAACAGAATATAAAGAGATGTTGGGTAGAATCTAGTGGCGAAGTTGAATGGATCGTTCGACTCACTTACCGTTGGACTTGGTTCGACCCACGACATGCTGATTATGCTCGTTTATAAGGATAATAATCGAACGCGAGCTAACTCACTTCATCGGATGTGGATTAACTTGATTTGTTATTTGTTACAATCTCGTAAGTCCTAATGCCAGGAGAATGAGGAGTGTCACAAATTCCAGTTACAATGAAACAAGCTCTCCATCCTCAAAGTTTTGCTTATAAAATGATCTCTTTGTCAATAATTAGTTGGTCAAGTAACCCGTAAGGTTCGTATGGAGGGGGCAAAAAAAAAACTCTTTGCATACACTTCTATTAGTAAATAGAGTTGCAATTACTAATAAAATTTCGAAACGTGACATATGAAAAACACTAATTTTGACTTCTTGTGCCTGCATTGATACATACCATCGTCATATTTTTTACCCTAATTACGGGTTGTCGTGATGAAGGGTTGGGATAAATATTGACTTAAAATTGTCAACTATAATCAAAGATGTATTGGGTTACTTGGACTTCATTCGTCAGGTTCGAATTGATGTTGATGACATTGCCGTCTAATACAACCAAGGGGACGAGGATGAAAAGCTTGATTTAGGATTTTGGAGCTTTTAATGACGGGTTTGAATTGTGTAGATTATTATGTAATTCAAGAATTTTGAAGTTTCAATCATGCTACACAAACGGGCTACGTGATCGAGATTAAAAACAGGAGGACACATGGCGTAACATCATTGAACAATTTGAAGGGGGGGAAAAAACCTTAGCCACAATGTGATGCTAGTGCAATACCTGTCCCTATTTGCAATCCCTCTGAGTAGCATTATTCTTGAAGCTTATTCAAGAACATTAGGGGTTGTTCTCTTTGTTTAAAGTTTTGTATTTTGTGTTTTGTGTTTTGAGTGTTCATTTTGAGATTGTTAAAAATGTGTTCTTTTTGACATTTTGAAAACATCCTAAACGTTTTTTGAAAATTTTGATTTGATTATAACCGAAAACACCAAAAACGACAAATTTTCGTTTTGAGTTTTTTTTGTAAATTTTTAACTTTTTTTCAAAAACGCATTTTTGAAAATGGAAAAGAGAACACGTTTTCATTGTTTTGAAAAATCGAAAATTAAAAACGGCTTGAAAATAGTCAAAAAAAAACATGCCCTCTAGGATTTTATATTAGCCATATCCATAATTTTGTAATTAAAATTTCTCTCTACTCCATTTAATTACTAAATTCACTTTTTAATGTGATTTCTTCATAAATTGAAAATAAAATGATTCAAGACGAATTCGAGTTAATAAAGAGCATGTGTAAACATTTTTATACTCCCACTTACCAATCCCTTCTTTTTGTAATCCGCTAGTCAATATTCGAAAACATTTCTTAAACCTCGCGAATATAAACAAAAATGGAGGGGGCAAAAAAAAAACTCTTTGCATACACTTCTATTAGTAAATAGAGTTGCAATTACTAATAAAATTTCGAAACGTGACATATGAAAAACACTAATTTTGACTTCTTGTGCCTGCATTGATTCATAGCCATCGTCATATTTTTTACCCTAATTACGGGTTGTCGTGATGAAGGGTTGGGATAAATATTGACTTAAAATTGTCAACTATAATCAAAGATGTATCGGGTCACTTGGACTTCATTCGTCAGGTTCGAATTGATGTTGATGACATTACCGTCTAATACAACCAAGGGGATGAGGATGAAAAGCTTGATTTAGGATTTTGGAGCTTTTAATGACGGGTTTGAATTGCGTAGATTATTATGTAATTCAAGAATTTTGAAGTTTCAATCATGCTACACAAACGGGCTACGTGATCGAGATTAAAAACAGGATGACACATGGCGTAACATCATTGAACAATTTGAAGGGGGAAAAAAACCTTAGCCACAATGTGATGCTAGTGCAATACCTGTCCCTATTTGCAATCCCTCTTTGAGTAGCATTATTCTTGAAGCTTATTCAAGAACATTAGGGGTTGTTCTCTTTGTTTAAAGTTTTGTATTTTGTATTTTGTGTTTTGAGTGTTCATTTTAAGATTGTTGAAAATGTGTTCTTTTTGATATTTTGAAAACATCCTAAACTTTTTTGAAAATTTTGATTTGATTATAACTGAAAACACCAAAAACGACAAATTGTCATTTTGAATTTTCTTTGTAAATTTTTAACTATTTTTCAAAAACGCATTTTTGAAAATGGAAAAGAGAACACGTTTTCATTGCTTAGGAAAATAGAAAATTAAAAACTGCTTGAAAATAGTAAAAAAAAAAAAAAAAACATGCCCTTTAGGATTTTATATTAGCCATATCCATATTTTTGTAATTAAAATTTCTCTCTACTCCATTTAATTACTAAATTCACTTTTTAATGTGATTTCTTCATAAATTTAAAATAAAATGATTCAAGACGAATTCGAGTTAATAAAGAGCATGTGTAAACATTTTTATACTCCCACTTACCAATCCCTTCTTTTTGTAATCCGCTAGTCAATATTCGAAAACATTCCTTAAACCTCGCGAATATAAACAAATCAAATCAAGTCAAAGATTGGTAAAAGGCCAATAACAAAAATTATATAAGTTTTACACAACAGTTATCCTAGTATTTAATTTATCGAATGGTACTGCAAACAATAAAAGCAGAAATGGCAATCAAGGGAAGAAAGTTACATCCGCTTTAGAGATAAAGAGAGCTGCACCAATTACATGAATTCACTCACTGACTGACTACATCAGTAAGCTAATCTTCTTCCACGCCGTCGTCGTTCTCGTCTTCTTCTTCCTCGCTCTCTTGCTCTTCGTCCTTGTTATCCTCGTTCTCATGCTCTTCATCATCAGTTTTCTGCTTTTTACCAGACCCGTGATTTCCTGAAATGACCAAAAGACAACATTAAAGAATCAACGTACAAGCTACATGTGATTGAATGCAATCATATGTTGCAATGAATTTATTCGAATATCGGGTTTGAAAATAAAACAAGGTCTGAAAGATAACGAAGCCTGAGATGGCTATAAATATGCCAAACCAGTCATCACAAGTTTGAGAGGGGACACCATGAACAAAGAAAACATTATCGAAAGAAGGCATGAAGATTTAAGCGTTGTTCCACCTTTTCGTTTATGTTCCACCCATCAACAAAGAGAAAAGAACGGAAAAATTATCCATAGTTACCTTTGGGAGAGTTCAAAACAATCAAATAAGTAATTCCTTCACTTTCATAATTTGCATGTTCAACCAGAACATGGAATAATCTTCCTCCTCCTATTGCATGTCTACAACATACCAATAAATGACACTAAGGCTTACGGAATGCTGAAGCTGCAAATTGCAATTCAGACTAGTCTGCTTATCGACCAATTAAAGAACAATGTATGATCTTTTTTAAATTCCTGTCCAGATGCAAGATGACTGCTTTCTTGAATAATTGAAATTCATTCACCTGACTAGTTAATAGAAAATTTTTAGTTGAGAATAGCATACCATATTCACTGAATATTACTCCTCCAGAACACAGTCCCTCCTCGATTTTGATGAGTTGAAGTGTCAGCCTAGGTCCAATCTCTTGAAGCTTAACAGCACTTTTATTAGAAGCCCGGTTAACTCTACCAAGGTCAGTTGCTAGACTTACAGTTGCAGCTTCATCATCCGCTTCACTTTCTGATCCATAACCAGCCCTTCATAGAACCATAGTAAATAGTAACTAAACCATAAGAGGAAAACAATCACTAATACATTTTAATTACTCAAACCAGCAACGAACATAAGCAAGTTGAGATAATATTTACCCCATAATAGTCACATCCGTCTATCTATACTTGCACAACATTTAATCTTCTTTAGGAATTCCCCCATTATCAAGTTACAAAAAGAATTTAACTTCACGCACGAAAGTTTGAAAGTCGCTTTCACTCAAGTTTCACTTTAGTATTCAGAGATAAAATCCTACAAAAGCTTGCCCTCTTGTCCCATTATTCCTAAGATCATAACGTCACTTAACCTTCCAACAGATTTAGATAAAGGGCATTGCATTTCCATAAGCCACAGAAGACAACTTTGAAAAATTACTCCAACATTACATAGAAAACAGGAGATGTGTTACCCAAAAATGAGGATAACATGTATGACAACACGGAACATTTTCTCCCCACAACATGCTTTCATAATTGACATTATATAGCGTAATCCAAAATCAAACTGGGTAATAACAAAGAATAATACGAAAAGTAGAGTCCAAATTTTAAGCTGTATTGACTCGATCAGGAATGGATAAAAGGAACAGTCGGAGGGATATTCAATCAATGAACCCAAAGTCGTCTCTTAAAAACAAAGGACAGAGAACAAGATATAGAGTGCAAGCGCAGTTCTTTTTGTCCTAGAGAGAGAGAGAGCTTACTTTGTCACAAAATCGCTCACATCTTGAAGATTTCTCAAATCAGGCACCTGATGGTTTTGCACAAACTTCCTAATTCTACGTGAAACGTCAACGGGTTGTAATCTAATAGAGTAGTGACGAAAGTCAATAAGCTTCGTCTCTTTGTTATAATTCAGTAATACAATCCTTTGGCATGAAGAAAGATTGACCTGAAATATATACAATTATAAGAGACACGACTGTGTTGAAACTGTAATTAGAATTGGGTGATGGAGTTTCTTCACTGACAGTGTTCACATCTATGGCAGGAAATATGTTTTGAAACATTATAGTAGTGAGCTTCAGATGTTGCTCCCCAGTCCCGAAACCAGAAAGAACAATCTACAACATTCAAACACGAAAAATACTTCCATGAGGGTAACCCAAGGGCAAAATAAAATAAAATACGAACAGTTAGTATATGAATGTGAACATAACACACAGCACCCAAAGTTTCCAACATTTTGTCCGACATTAAGAGATGGATGTATGCACCTTTTTTCGTTGCACACAGCATTCAATTTTGTTTGAGGATTAATGTGAACTTACCAAGGGTGGGTTTTTGAAAAGATCTTGGGGGCTTCTCGGACGCAATTGACTTTGAGCAATATCAGCAGCCAATGAGTATTCAATTATTTTAAATGTAAGCGTTGGACCCTGGGGTGTCCTTGCAACCCTCAAGTATGGCGCCGAGTCAGTTTTAGATAAAATGAGAAAATGTGTCACACCCATAGGCCCTGAAACATTCAAGAAGTCTTTGAGATTATTTCGCCTTTTTTCCTGCGATCATGTGAATATCAAGTTAGCCAGCTGAAGAGAAAACAGAATGCACTATGCATCTAAAGCTTCAAGAATCATGCTCTTGATCGTATCTTGCAACAATACTGTTGGTACAAAAAAATCACCGTCATTAAATACAACCAAATACAGGAATACAGCCATATAAACTGAAACAAAAAGGGGTAAATAACTTTCATTCTAATGCATACCCTCATTTTTAATAATATACGTGTTGAAAAAAAAAACATTGGCATTGAGCAATCACTTTATCTTAATGTGGTACCTCAAGAATGTTTGGTGTTTATCTTCATGGATAACAATTACAAGCCTAAAATATAATGAATTGGTTTAGATAATTAGATTGAGGGCTTGGGAATTAACAACACCATTATATCAACCTCTAAAAGATTCAATTTTCTATACAAGTATCGGGTACCAAATTTCAACTGAGCTGTCAGCTGTACTAGTTGAAAACCTTAGTTCCTTTGTTGTTGCATACTTTTATTATTATTATTATCATCAATTTGTTTATAGAGCTACTAAGATTATATTTCCAAGTAATTATCCTTGCAACTTTTACAGATGTGCTCATCAATTCTTTATAGAATTTTCCATAGAATTCCAAGGCGCTCACCTTGAGCTTGAGAGCAGTAAAAGGAAGCATCAATTTTCTCAAATCCATCTGCAGTTGTCGAAGAGGACCGGGCAACTTCCCCCTAGAAAACACAAAACTCTTCGGAATCTTGTCTCCAGTTATATGATCAACACTTGGCTGCTTCTTGGTGATCTGCCTAACAAACGGTTTTCTCTTGTTCTACGTTTACAATTCATAATGTATGACGTAAGGCACACAGAAAATCAATTGTAAGTATAAACAAGTATAGTATTTCGTAACTTACGTTTCTGAAACGAGCCATGTCTCTAACTATGAGTTTCACTCGATTAAACTGCTACAAAACCAAAATATTAGAAAAATATGAAAACAATTATCACCGATTGCATAGAGAAGTACGAGAATCTCTTCATTTCATATCTGGATTTAAACATTAGGTATCCAATTACTACTTGATCCAATTCACGTAAAAAATCTAAACATGAAATTAACGGAATACATTCTAGTAATTACTGCCATGTAAACCAACAATAATCTAGGTCGAAATTCATTAATCGTAACAAACGAGGAAGGATGTGGGCTTCTACATTGTCTGACATCCCCCAAATCGATTCATATATAAGCACAAATGAGGAACCAATTTATTATACTCTCCTCCCGAGCCTAAAACCAATTACAGGTAATATCAGTAGCTAATCTCCCTGTAGGTTCCTGATTCTTGAAATCCCTGGAGCAAGGCAGATAATTGGCCTTGAAAAAGGCGTGGATTTTTGTCATTGTTACCTACATTTCACGGCTTAATCGCCAAAATTAATGACCGTAGGCACAAGTGTGGCTGCATCCTGAGAATCCACAGCCCTCAATCGCTAAATCTTTAATTCAAGTAAACTACAAATCTTGCTTTTATACTTTGTCTGTTTGCATAAAATCCTATAATATGATGTAAAGGAACTCCTCTATTCATTATTCAATCAGAGATAATTTGGTTCGGCAAAACCCTTCTATATTAATAATGTTGTGTCATCATTCATTACCCGATGAATTAACTAACTAACTGCATAAATAAATGAAAAGCGCCAGATATACAAAATGAGACCGTTACTAACAGGCGCCCCTTACCTGGTGAAGATCACAGGGCTCCTATGAAGTCTGTCAGCCTGTCTTCCTCCGCCGGACCTCCGTGGTACTGTGAAGGCAAATTTTGAAAATTTTAAGAAATAAAGAAATTCCAGCAAAATGGTCAGATTTCATTTATAAATTATATGTATTTATAAACAAACAAACCTCACTACCTCAGAATTCAAAGTGCCCTCAGAGATTGGAACTTGGAAGGTGACGTCGGGAGTGAGGGCGAGGTGTGAAAGGCTGAAGGCTGAGAGAAAAAATTGGAAATTTGGAATTGGGAATTTAGGTTTTCTATCGACTGCCTTAAAAAAATGTTAATGGATTGGATCCAAAAGTTCAATGCAGGCCTGTTCCATAAAGGGCTCCGCCCCTCACTACTGGCCCGGAGGCACTACGAGATTGTAGGGAACTTGATATTAAATATAATAGACTTTTTAGCTTAATTAATTGGATGTAATAGAGCACACAGTACTTACTAATAAGCACCAATTAGTACTTATTGACTACTGGCCCGGACCTGTGTTCTGTGGGGCCTGAGTCGAGCTTCAAAATTAGGGCTCCTAAGTCATTGCAGACAATCCATTTTTTTCATTTATAAGAGTCTTACGGAACTAAATTTGTTAACTTAAATTTAACAATAAAGCAACAAAGAGTGAATCTGTATCTGTGAAAAATGAAGATGTGAAAGAGTATGGGAACAAGTAGGGTGATAATTTGTCGAGGAAAGATGAGTGTACAGAATCCCCCAGGAAATGAGCAAAAATCGAGAAATGAACATAGACGACCAACAATTCTATAGCAAAATAGAGTAAAAATATGATCTGCTTCACCAAGCCAAGCTTATCACCATTAATAAAAACAAATTTCAATAAAATAGCCCTATTCAGCCTACTTCATATGAGAAATGTTCGGTGCAAAAAGAGAAGAAGTGATACTAACCTAGAAACACACCATCAGCTGTCAAAGGCAGATAAGCAAGCAGAGCAATCCTCAATATCTCTAAACCAAGTTCGTCCAATTTGAAAACTGATCTACTCCAGCAATTAGAAAACGGAAATAGTTAGCACTATCTGTCTAGACAAGCCTCAAAATTGGTTGATAAAACTGAGAATCACTTAAAGCAAGATATTACCCCTAATGCTCATTGCATACTTAAACCTTGATTAACACAAATATATTTTGAATTTTAGATAAAATCTTCCAAAATCTAAAGCCAAGTATAATGTGAAGTAAATTTAGTCTGGTAATCCGAATTTTAATGCCAAGGTTACAACAATTTATCAAATTCTAAACTAGCACTCAACACAACCATTGTGATTTACTGGTTCTTGAACATAATGTTGCATTCTGGGGATAGCAATTGTCAAAATTATCTAAAATATATTTGGCACCTCGGACCTCCTAGAATTGCAGTCTTTTGACTAGAAAAGGTAATGCTAACTCAAACAATCATTTTATTCTGGACAATACGCAACTTAATCATAATGTAAATCTATTTGATACAGTGGAAAATAAGGGAATGTATACAATATAAAATCAAAATGATTTCTTGGACAAAATAAGTGAAACCCAGACCATGAATGCTGTAAAAATAAGAGCTCAGCTAGCCTAGCTTTGTACTGCCGTTTGAAAACCCAGAAGTAAAAATAGATCAGAAAAATCATTTGAAAATCAATGCTAGATATACAAACTCAGAATAGAAATTCACGTTGAAATTGGAATTTATGCCCGTGGTTTCATAAATTAAGAGAAAGCCGGAAAAATTCAAAGAAATGCAAAAGCGGTTGAGAACTCGGAACTACACAGCAAATCAGCAATACTCAATGTAAAGTGTAAACAAAATACTTACAGACACCAGTTTCCGCTGCCGTTTCTTCCGTCTGGAGACCGAACTCTGGACTCGTCTCTCAACTGGAGGTAAGTGAACGAACGGCCTGAACCTGAAGGCTGAACTGTTGAAGAATGAAGCGCTAGGTTATTAAAAAAAAAACGGGCCCCTAAAAAATCTGGGCCTAAGGCGGAGGCCTCTTGGGCCTCTCCTCAGGTCCGGCCAAGAGTCTTAAGGTTAAATGCTATTATCTTTCTATAGTGAACATTAATACTTAATAGTAGCTTATTTGTAGGAAAAAAAATCTTATTTCAAAAATTTTAATCTTTTAATGATCTCATCAAAAGAATTATTCAGATTAAATTTAATATCTATCTACCAAATAAGTTTCACACGGGGCCGAGCTTGGTATGACGAAAGTTGGCCTAGTGGCTAGTAGGTATGATCCTTTTATAGTGTTCCTTTTTAGTGAAAATTACAGCAAACCTGACTTTTAAACTTCCCATTTCAAAATTAAGATGTACAAGTTTTTTTTTTTTTTTTTCAAAAGTCAAATGATAATCAAAATTTTAAATATTAATAATTATATTACATTATTGTTATAAGATTAAATTAATTTATACCCACCCCAACCCCAACTACCCCGATTTCAAATCCCTAATTTTTCTCAATCTTTTCTCCGTACTCTCTCTCTCTCTCTACTGGGACGCACTCTCCTTTCCTCTCTCTATTTTCACGCTACCATTCACAACAGTGTGACACTGCTGCAGTAGCGCTGCACTATCATTCACTGTGGTGGTGGTGTCGTTTGCTAGGTCTCGAGACGACATGGTGATGACGACGGCACAGCGGTGAAAAATTTAAGGTCGTGGTTGTGGTGGCTGGTTTGTAATGGCTAGGGCGCCGTGGTGATAGAGATGGTGGTTGAGTGGTTCCAAGCGCATCACCTTCTTAGGCTCACTAGAAATTGTGTTTGGTTGTTGTTTTTTGTGTTGGAGACGGTGGTGTCATGGTTGTGATAGTTGGTTGGTGTTGGCGTCGGCGATGCTGTGGTGGTGGATTCTTTGCAGTGAATAGGAATTGCTGATTAATTGTTTGCAGTGGCGGTGGTTTTTGTTGGTAGTGGTAGTGGTAGTGGTGGTAGTGGTGGTGGTAGTAGTAGTGGATCTGACAGTTAAAATGATTTTTGTTGAATCTGACGGTGGATCGGCAATGGCAATGGTGGTTTTATAGTTAAAAATGGTGATTTGTTGGTGGTTGTGGTCGTTTTGAAGTTGAAATGATAATTTGGTGGTGACGCTAGCTGTGGTGTTGAAGTTGCATTGTTTTCGGTCTGTGCCATGGTGAATAGGGATTGGGTGAAGTAGGTTGTGGGATGAATAGTATTTGTGATCAATTATTGAGATTGTGACCGATAGTAGGTGATGGGATTAATAGTGTTCGTGACCAATTTATGAGATTGTGACAAAAAAAAAATATGTGACCGATGACGTGTGATCAATAAAAAATAAGTGACTTAAAAACTTGAATTGTGGTTTATAAAATTTATGATGTATAACTCATAAATAATTTGTGACTTATAGATTTTTGATTTTTGATCGATGAGTAAATCGTGATCTATGAATTTTTTTAATCTGTGATTGTGAAATAATTTGTGACTTATAAAATTTTGATTTGTGACCAATTAATTCAATAAATTGTGATCAAATTATATAAAATTGTAATTTTAATACATTTAATTAGCAAAATATATTTTTTACTAGACTTATAATTTTTTTGATGTGTGATCAAATTGTATAGAATTGTGACTTATAATTTTTTTAATGTGTGATTAATGAATAAATTGTGACCTACAAAATTTTTGATTTGTAAATCTGAAATAATATGTGAATTCGTGACCGATAAATAATTTATGACCAATAGTATAGAATTCTGACCTTAATATATTTAATTAATAAAATATATATTTTAATTAATTATTTCATAAATAAAATTTAATTAATATATGATTTTTGAAATAATTTGTTTCTTAATTTCGAAATGGGTCGAACTTAATCCCTTAAATTTGAAATCTTCCCTATTTTTTATAAATAATTGTGGTACACAAACAGGCTCAAAGACAAGCTCAAAAATAGGGAGACTCGACACATGATTGGACATATTGAAAAATAAAAAAAATAAACACCCAAATAGGTGATGCCAAGTCAAACTGTCAATCTTTTCTCTGTTTTTGAGTATGTTCAATTACCATTATTCTCTTTATAAAATATATGTGTCTCTCTTCTTATCAAGCACGTTTTATTCATTAAAGTAATATTACATGCAAATAAAAAAAAATTAACCACACGTTC